GAGAAGCCACCGAAGGAGCTGACCATTTCAGAGTGTGACCAGTTCAGACTTTAAAACAGTCACTCTTTCTACTAAGAACATTTAGTGTAGGGGCAAGAGTTGAACCTAGAGAGTTTACTGCTTTTCATTGACCTTACGGAACTGTCACACATCAGGAATACAATAAATCATTTTTTTAAATCTTTGATGCAGAAGATTTAGCAATAGTGTCATATACTATTGTGTATGTCATATGTGGAAACCTCAGCTATGCTTATATGAGACTGTGAGGGACAAATGTTTGGTTTGAGTGTTTATTATGTAGTAATTAAGCTTACTGGCTCTGGGGCAGGAAAGGCTCTTTCTGTATCCATTCTGTCTCAGGTCCTCATCTGGCATGATAATCAGTCTTTTCCAAGAGATAATTTGAATGAGCATATGACCAAATGAGGTTGTGTGTGCAGAGGGCTCATCCTAGCACTCAGATGCTGCTACTTGGTAGTGCACATTTGTTCCTTTGTCTTCTGTACCCCATCTCCCATATACAACGCTCAGCAAACTGTCGCTTCAAAATACTAATCACCAGAGTTGTCCTGTGCAGACCTGTGTTGCTGACCACTCCTTTTGAAGTTTTAGATTGTGGAGTAGGCAGACCATTGGTGTGTGGTAGAGAGAAGCCCCTTTTATACATTTTTAGCATTAATGAATAACTACATTCAATAAATATAACAAGTGTATGTGTTTGCATGTGTACAAATGAACTGCCATACAGACAGTTGTATTCATTTGATAACTACCTAACAGGATGACATAAAATTCTATTTTTGACTTTATAGGGTAACAGAATGAAGAATATATCACCTGATCCAAATTCTTCATTTTGTAGAAGAGAAGTCTTGAAGTCACATAGTTTAAGGTTATGTGCCTCCTGATTATCTGCAGAGTTAGGGGCATACATTTTGGCTGATCCCAAACTCAGTCCTGTTTCTTCTTCTAGCAGCTTTCTGGTTCCTCACTGAGCTTGATCTTAAAGTGGCCTCCTCATTCTTGGTCAGGGAAACAATAGATTTCAGTTGTCACCTGGCCCTGCTACTCCCTAGTGAGATTACCTCTGAATATTTTCAGTAAATTTTTATGTAGTGATATTACTCATAACCTGGGCCCCTCAAAAGTTAAGTGATTGAAGTATGCATATTTTTGTATTATTTTTCAGGGAACCTGATACATCCTAAGCCTGAAGTAAAGGCTTGTATATGTATGTAATATATCTCATTTAAGAATTCTATTCATTAGTGTTTCTTATAGAAATTATGCAGATTAACAAGAAGAAAATGAAAAGCATCCATAGCACTGTTATCCAGAGATAATCTGAGTGTTTTCTTATGCATTTTTCCCTTTAGTTTTGATTATACTTACCATCTAAGAAATAGAACATGAAATCCTTTATTACTGATCCATTTAAACAAAACTCTTCACATCGATAGTGAAAGTAGAGCCTATAATACAGACTGACACTTCTTTCAACAGAAAACGTTTCAGCAGTTTTGTCATAGTGTGTTTGAATGCATATGTATTAAACCTTGAGTCTTCTTTTAGGTTTTTCAGCCATTTTATTACTTCTTCAGTCCTCCTTTAAACTCCATCTTGAGCTCTATGTGTATCTAACTGCAGGATTTTTTTGCCTGAATATAATGAAGTGTTCATCCTACAGACCTTGAAAATAAGCCTGACCTACTTAGAAGTTTTAGGGACTTGGAGAATGCTTTGATGATTCTCAGTCCTCATGATTAAGCCGCAAAACCTTGTTAGTTCAAAGGAGGTTAAATCACCAGGAGGAGAAATGTCAAAAAATCAAATTGTTTTATTTTATATCTCCTCGCTCAAGGAAAGTGATTTATAGAGCCCTCTCTGTGGAATATGCATTAATGTTCCAGAATGCCAGGCTGGCTGGTCTCTGTCTCTGCTGCATCTTCATTCTGTGGCCTGAGGCTAGTGCACTAAAAAGATCAGTTCATGTCCAAGGAATTTTGCCTCCAACTGAAGGTTATTAGAGTAATGGTTCTGCTCTTCTATTGACTGTCATATGGATGTTACCATAAATTCAGACAGTTTTCAATTTTGAAACTTACTGCAGGGAATTACAGGCTACTGTTAAAGACGCCCAGTGGCTCCCCAGGAAGAGACCCTTGAGGAGAGATTGTCCTGCTCTGAGAGTTGGCTGAGAGGGGCTAGAGAGTTGAGAGCAGTGGTTCCAGGGTATCTCTGTACTAAGGAGAAATGCACAGTTACACTGTAGGAAAAGGGTAGCTGAGGCTGTGGGTGGGGGAAGGTGGCCACTAGCAAATATAGGACACTAGAGTTGTGAGTCTGGATTGGAGCTCTTTAGAATGGTATTTATCTGTCAGGGCTGCCTCCAGGTCAGGCAGGTGGTGGCCACCTCTCAGGATCTGGCTTTATTGGTAGGATGTTCTCCTGGTGCGTTAAGTTATTAAAAGATCCTGGACAGATCATCAAGAAAACAGAGTTAGGATGTCAGGAGGTTGTGCTATAAGCCAGGAGCAAGACTGTCCTTGAATGTTATTTATTTATTTTATTTTATTTATTGGAACCAGGGATCGAACTCACAACCTCGCACTTGCCAGGCAGGCACTTGCCGGGGAGGCACTTATGCCACTGAGCTAAATCCATGGCCTGAATGTTATTAATGACTCTTATTTAGGAAAATATTGCTCATTGGAGGGCTTTTTGTTTCAGTACTTGGCGTTATTGCCAGTACTGGCTTTCTTCCAATCCTGGTAATCCTCTGAGGCTTCAAAAAGGATGCTTTGTTTTGTTTTTCCCCCTTCTCTCTATGGGGTAATTGGTTTTATATATAATTTAATTATTTCGTTAACCAGTTATCCTATCAGTGTATTCAAAAACAAACCTAAAACCCACCCTCTTGTTCTGGGTTAAGATGTTCACAATCAGATTTTCCACCATTCTGAGTGACTGTGTAACTGGAATTTCTCACTAAAAGCTCTATTTTCCATATTTGTAAGGGATGTTCTTAGAACCTTGCAAAGTAGAATCTAGTGATTTAGAGTAAGGAGAACTAAGATAAACGGTTAACTTCAGGAATGAATTAAAGTCTTAAAGATACTATAGTCATATTTTAGATCACCTTGAACTATATTTTTACTGAATTGAAACCTTGAAAGGTTCTTCTTAGGGTAGAAAAATGAGAAGGAAATGTACTATCTTATCAATATCTGGTCCCACTAATGTGTCTCCTTTTAAATGATGATTTTAATCATAATCTTGTTTTATCTTTCCCAGTCATGCTCTTCAGCAAGAGATTTGTTTTTAATCCTAATGGACTGCTGTATAAATTTGTTTATTTAGTTAGGCTTCTTTCAAAATTCATGTGTGTGTGTGTGTGTGTGTGTGTGTGTGTGTGTGTGTTTGATGGGCTCAAAATCAAGCCATCCATTTGATGCCTTCATGTGATAATGCTTTTTACAAAGATGTTTTATTGAGTCCATTTACAAAAATTTAATTGGATCTAAATAATTCAGGCCTAAGAATAAGATGCAGATGTGTGTAATGCTGCTGCATCTGGCTCAGACTTTATGCACTTTTTTTCCCCCTCCTTTTTCTCCTTTTGTGGAACTCTACATTTTGCCATTCATAGTCGTATTGCTAAAAGCCCCAATAATTAGACCGTAGGTCCCCAAACAGGTGAATATTTTTTTAATATATAAAAGCAACTTCAGCTTTTCTTGGGGAGTGTTTTTGAGTCTCTGAAGGCTTTCAGAAATATAAAGTCTAATTTTACTGCATAAGAAGAAAAGAGAAGAGAATATTGCACTTTCGTATCCTGGGATTTTGCCCTCCCCTAAACCTTGCTGCCCTTGGCATGCTGCTTTTGGATCATTTGTAGTGGCAGATGGCTTTGTGCAAATCAGGCCAATTATATTTGGGCAAAGGAAAAAACACCTTGCATTATGAATAATTTCTGGATTAGTGAAACTGACATGTCTCTTTGAAAACTCACCCATTTCTAGAGGGCAGACTGTCTTGTGCAACTCTGCTCTGCTGAGCCGTGAGTCTGTGGTTCCTCACATCATCCTCCCATCTCCAAGGATGCACTGAATTCTTACTTTTTAAAGATTCACCTGATACCAAAAAAATACTTTTAGTATCTGATAATTAGCCATCTTTAATAAAGTCATTATATTTTAGTGAATGGAAAATAATGCTCTCTTGAGATTTTGTAACTATTTTAGGCAAGCCAAGTGTCAGTATTGCTTCGTGCATTTCTCATTTTTCATTTACTGGAAATTAATTTTCCCAGTTTTCTTTGGTGTAACTGTCTTTGAAGAAATCCCTATTAAATCTTCATTTCTCTGTCTTCGCTTCCCCCAATTGTCTAACCCTTTGTGCACTGAGAAAACAACCCAGCTTCCATTTCTCCCTTCATCTTTTCTTCCTATGGATTTTACCAGTGCATTTCTTGAAATAATATGAAGTGAACAGCCAGAAGATAAAGAGAAAGCCTTGACCAGTTGGCCTGAAGCTATTGATTACATCACCAATTCTCAACATTGAGTTCTGTGGTGCAGATGCCATCCTGTTTGCTTTCCAGGGTGGTAACCACAGGTGGCAGATCATTCCTGTGTGTTTGCTTCATGATCACAGAGGCATTTTCACATTCTCATTCCCTGTGGCCATGTTCAGGTCTTTAAAATTTCTGCCTAAGTTTCTCTTTCTGGTATAGAAGTGTGAGGATTAAATAATAATGTAAGCAGTCTCTGTAAAGTATTCTAAAGGACAGATGGTCAGGTCTTTCCAAGTGCTCCTGTTATTCCCCACCTGAGAAGGAACCGAAATCATTAGCTAAAGTCATGAGGATTTGGTTAATAATATCCCACATTAACATTGCTGTCTTGTGCCCGGAACAGTTCTCAGCACTTTGGACATGTATTAATCCATTTGAAAATAAACTGTAATACTTAGTGTCACTGATTTATGTTTTCCAGGTTGAAAATTGGTGTCCTCATTTACGTTGGAGAGTCAAAAATCCTTATGAAGAAGCTGATCATAATTCATTGGTAAATGATTTTGGAAAATTCTTCCTAAATATGTACATTTAGGTCAGATGTTAAGTGATGCATGTGGCATCTTTTTGGATTTACCAGCTAATTTGAAGCATTATTCAGCTGAAAAGCTTTCATGACTAGTCCTGTAAAAATCAAGGTGACCAAATCAGTCAATCAGTTAGCATAGATTTATTTATTGAGCAATTTTTTTAGGGTCCCTAAGTGATGAACAACTGATAGGAATAAGACCTGGTGCCAAATGTGAAGGCAATGGGTGATCTAATGAGAGGGTGGTTGTAAATAATGATCATGCCTGTCACAGTGCTTTAAAGTAGGCTGACAGCAATAATGAGGAAGCCTGCAAAGGTCAGGGTAGATTACAGAGAAGATGACATTCGAGCTGATTTTAGAATGATGAATGAGTTTCTAAGAGGTCAAGGAGAGAAGGATATCTCAGATAACGTGAAAGTGAACTCTTGGTGTTAACCAGCATAGCTGGGGACAAGGACTGAAAGGTTTGAAAGAGCAGAAATAAAACAGATTATAAAGGTAGGAAGGAGACTGTGAACAACAGTTATGCCACATTGAAAGCTAAAGCCTTTGTTTTTTAGATCAGGAATCAACAAACTTTTTTCTTTGAAAAGATAGCAAATATTTTCATCTTTGCAAACTGTGATCTCTCTGTTGCAAGTAGTCAGTTCTGCCATTCTAGCACAGAATACCCACCAACAATATGTAAATGAAGGGCATGGCTGTGTGAGCTTTACTTTGCTGACCACAGGAACTGTGGAAAACAGGTATTTAAAAGGAACTGTGGTGACTACTTAAAGATAGATTCAGTGTGTTTGAGGTGTTCTATGAAATACTAATACTACATTTCTCTGTGGCTGTTGTCATGAGTTTAACCCAGTTGCATTATCCAGCATGTTAGGAAAAATATTCCTTGGATTTTAAATCATGCTAATCAGAATTTTAAATAGTATTGAGCTGTGGTAGGAAAAGGATATCTTTGGTTTTTAAATACATTAAAAATAGTAAATTTTTATTGATTTGGACAGGGTCAAAACTAGAAGATGAACATTTATTTCCCTATTTAATCTGTGTACAGAAAAACGTTCATTGGTGACCAATATGATGTTGGATAACATATTCAGATCTGACTTCAGTTTTTGTGGGGGTCTGCTACCTATCAATAAAGTAACACAATAAATTTCAGAACAGAGAATTTCAAGGTACATCAAGCATGCTTGTAAAAATGCACTGTAACACAGCCCAGGGCTTTGCAGAGCCTGTACTATCCTTCTCAGTTTCTAATTTTTTAATGATATCCATTATAACAGATCAGCACTCAGGGACCTTTGCTATAATTTGCATTCCTGGGACCTACTAATAAAAGCTGGGCAGCATGGTGAGACTCGTTTTCCAAGCCCTGGATTTAATTGACTGTCACTTTCAAGTTTTCAGATGTCATATGATGAAAACCATGAGGCTTTTTGGCTTTTGCCTTCTATACATTTTATTAAATTTCTGTTTCTAGGCAGAAATTCGTACAGATTTTAATACTCTCTACAGTATGATGAAAAAGCATGAAGAATTCCGATGGATGAGACTACGGATCCGGCGAATGGCTGCTGCTTGGATCCAAGCAATCAAGTCCCTGGCAGGGAAGCAAAATCTTGAAAAGAGAAAGCGAAAGAAAGTGAGTTTCTTCTTAATTCATTTCAGTTAGATGCCAGTTTTCTTTTAAAATTTGATTTTGCTGGGAGACAAGAGAAAAGAAATGTCATGTCTCAAATGATATTCCCTCGGGATGAGTCAGGCAGCCTCTTTCTTGTACAGCCCATTTTTGGATTTTATTATCCACAATACATGCATTTAGTAGAGATCAGTACAAATTTCTCGATGAAATTAAGATGAATATCTGCCTGTTAGATTCGCATTTTCCTTTCAACTGTCCATCCGTCCTTTCATCTGTCTGAAGGTACTGGGTAACTTCCTGCATTTTTTTTTTTTTTTTTTACCTGAATCCAACCTTTAGGGATTTCCTGTTGTAGCATCATGGCAATTTCATGTGGTGGTTATTCTTCATCCAGGGTCTGGGCAACCTGTAAATTCAGTGCTGCTCCATCTAATTGTGCTTCTGTTTTTTCTCTAGAAAGGAGATTTTATTAAACTTAAGCCATGTTGTTGCAGTTCGTGGGACATGCCTAGAAACTCCATGGCATTCCCCGGCTTAGGAGATCTTCTCCTTTGCTTAGTTACAGATTAAGGGACATTGCTGTGATTAACTATTCTGATTTCATAGCTGAGCAAAGTAAACCATTTGTTGCCACACCTCCAAAAAACTTAGAGTGAATCTGATTTATTTGATAGCTTTAAAAAGGAAAGTATGGTTACGATTTATAAGACCCCCAAATCACAGTTTGATAGGTCAGTTTTCCTTAGACCCTTTGAGTTTGAGACACCCCAACCAGACAGTTTGACACTATGTAAATAGTGGGAGGGGAGCATGTGATGAGATTCTACAAATGCACCATATAAAGAAAGAATTTTTCTTCATAGTTTTAAGGAGATGTCTACAGGATACATTATCAGTAAAAAACTTAAGGAGCAACTAGCATATGGTATTTTTAAAAGAAAGTGGGGCATTTTATCTGCATGCATGCCTACATACATACAGATCTGAACATCTACCCAAATGTTAATTGTACTCACATTTTTTATAAGTTGAAAGATAACACAAAAAATTAAAAATGAAGGAGATGGGTAATGGTGATAGTTGTACAATATTACAAATTTTCTTAATGCTATTAAACTGCATAAGTTAAAAGGGGAAATTTTATGCATATTTTTGCACAATAAGAAAAAAAAGAGGGGGTATCTCACTTTGTAGATCTGATGCTGGAACCATTTTACATTCAGTGTGAACATTAATTACAGTAAAAGTCATAAGGAAAATAAGAAACAAGAATTGACTACAAATCCATCCAGTTTTGATATCAGCATACAGAAAAAACTATTTAGTGCCTTTAGAATCTGATAAATTGGACATTTCTGATGGGCTATCACAGAGGACAAAAAGAGCTGCAAAAATATTTCAAAACAATTTTTATAAGTCATGTGAAAGTATCAGTGTTCTCATTCTGAATTCATTGTGAGTAACTGGATAACCATAAATGAGTAATTATGTTAGTGTCTTTGAGAAGTGGGATTGTCATTGAAAGAGGAAATAACAGATGTAAGATGAATATTGTTATGTAAAAATATTATAGTCCTGAGTTTGAATTTGAAGTACTGGTAAGAACTCTTAATTTATTGTATCTTAGAGGAAAAACACATTTCCTAGCTAGTATCATTGAAAAGGCTTTCAAATAGTGATTAACTAGAGTCCCTTAAGCCCTAGACTTTGATCTTTAAACGCTATTTCCACCAAGTGGTATAAGAGATTCTTGGAAAAATGATACATTAAGGAGGTAAAAATTGAACATGGCAGATTTAGAGAACATCTTGTCATATGGAAGGGTGGAAAATCTGTGAAAGGCTGCCAGGATGTGCCCAAAGAATTGTGGAGCCAATTTAATAGCTTCTCACTGGTCGAGGTGAGGCACTTTCATATGGTAATAACCACAGTTTATTGGAACACAATAAACATGCTTATAGCCATAATTTTATAATGCTTAAAGACTAAACAGAACATGAATCATAATTAGAATACACTTTTTAAAAAATGTTATCACCAAGCATGGTGGTGCATACCGGTAATCCCAGCACTCAGGGGGCTGAGGCAGGAAGGGCACCGTGAGTTTAAGGCCAGCTTGGGGCTACATAGTGTGTCCAAGGCCAGCCTGAACTACATAATGAGATTCTATCTTTAAAAACAAAAGATGAAAAAAATCAAATATTTACTAGGCTTGTTCTTATGCAGACTGTACCTCAGCTTGACCAAATAGAGATGTTTCTCTTTATAGATGTATTTTAGCTAATGATGAAAAAGGAATGATAGGGGGCTGGGGATTTAGCTCAGCGGCATAAGCACCTGCCTTGCAAGCAGGCAGTTGTGAATTCGATCCCCGGTACCGATAAAAAAAAAGGAAAAAGACCAAAAAAGGAATGATAGAATATCATTACTTTGCAGCCCTCAAAAGACTAATGAGTTTAGTTATTGATTATAAGTGGCTGCTAATCTCCCAAAACAAGGACACCTAGATATTTTTCTTTCTAGTGAAAGTTCACAGCAGCACTTATGAAGTAAGAAATTCAATGTGAATTTGACCGTACCTTAAGTTTTAACTACTAGTGTCCCACAATATGAAGGGCAGACATAATGATCTGTTTTTACATCACATTGAGTTTGCAATCAGCAAAATTCAGAATGTAGGAGGGAGGCTCTGTTGGAAATATAACCCACTGTCTTTAATGAATAATTTATAAACAGTCCCCTTAAAGAGTAATAGGGAGTTACAGAGTTTAAAGGCAGCTAAAAGATGAATGAGGCAGTTTATAATGTGTACACTTTAACTTCTGAATCACATAACTGCGCTTGGGGTGAGCTGCAGAAGTAGAAACATTAACTGTATTCTGAGTGACATTAAGGAAGTAATAGCTCTTTTGGAGGTAACAGTGATGTGGCCATGTTTTTTAATGTGGTTTATTTTGTTTACAGATACATTTTGAAATATTTACAGGTGGCAAGATAGAACCTCTAACCTTTGCTTCAAAGTACTCTAGGGTGTTAGGAGAAAAGGAAATACAGATCACACAAAATTTCTCATGAATTAATAGTTGTTGAAGTTATGCAGTAAGCCTGCTGAGGCTGACTATATTGCCTTACCTCTTTTTTATGTGTTGGAAATTTTTCATGAGAAAAGATTAAAATATTTCAGCTATGGAGGAAAAAGCTAACCATTGTTAGAAGATATTCTAGTATCCTAGCTTACTTTCCTTTAATTCTGATTTTACAAGTATATCCCATTTTTAAAAAGCAGGATATCTATTCATACCCCATATTCATAGCCACACTAAGGGCAAATAATAATATTCTGTCTCTAAAACATGAAAAAAAATTGTTTCTTGCCCATCTTTGTACCTTTCAGAAAAATGGCACACCCCACATTGAGATTTCATTATGACCTAAGCGTGCTGTTAGAGTTGGTTGATCATTCTGTGGTGTGTGACTGCAGGCTTAGTACGTGGTTCAGAACAAATGAATACGTGCCTTTTCTGTCTTTCAGGTCCTTGTCCACCTGGGACTCCTGACCAAGGAATCTGGATTTAAGATCGCAGAGACAGCATTCAGTGGTGGCCCTCTTGGTGAATTAGTTCAGTGGAGTGATTTAATTACATCTCTGTACTTACTGGGCCATGACATTAGGATTTCAGCTTCACTGACTGAGCTCAAGGAGTAAGGAGATTACTTTTCAATTTTAAAATCAGGATACAAAAAAGAATTGTAAACTCTTAAAGCCTTCTATTAGTGTGTAATTTCTTGCAGAGGAAAATGAAAGTGATAATTCACTAAACAGGAGATAAGAAGATTATTTTCAGGAGCTAAATACATACACTGTGAAAAGGATAATATGTTTTCATTGTAGCTGCAGGCTCCCAAGGCTTCATGAATGAATGCCAGAAAATTCAAACTAAGGAGCTTATTCTTTGCTATTACAGGTGCTTCCCACATCTGCAGCACAAAACATTATTGACTTTTCTAATTCCCCATCTCTTACTGAAATTCATACTGTTCCCTGCTCAACATCAGGCTTTCTAAATCTTAAAACAAGGCAGGTTCCTGTGTATAATTTAATTTGGATAAAATAAATTTCCTGAAAGCCTTGATCCAATCCTTTTTCAATTAGCCAACTTTCGGCTCATTTGTTAACTCTTCCTTGGTCTTGTGTTTTCCTGAAACTCACATTTACCTCTGTCTCGCAATCACTTTTCCATTTACACAGCTGGCTAAGCAGGGACACCTAAATCTCCTCACTCCTAGGTAACTGCCCTTATAGATGTCCTACCCAGCAGCCAAATGTCATGTGATAGTGTCAAGTACTTTCAGGAGAAAAACTGTGAATAAACATTGGAGAGATGGTGCGGAGGGATTAAAGCAAACAGATGGTCCACCCTGTTCCCATTTTATGGTGCAAGTCCTTGATACCCAGTAAGGTCACTTACGTTAGGTGCAAGCTCTCTTCCTGGTTGGTGGCAGTGTATATTGGGAAAAAAGAAATAAGTTTGGTAATATATTGTCTTAGTTACTTTTTACTTATTGCTGAGACGAAATACCTGAAGCCCAAGTTGGGAAAAGAAAGGTTTATTTCTTAGTTTTTGGAGGTTTTAGTCCACACCCAGTTAGCTCCAAGGCAGGAGGGCATGGCTGGACCGCAGTCCATGGTGGCTGCAAACAACAAACAGGAACCAGCAAAGAGCAAGACACACCTTGTTCCTGCCATTACATCACATCCTGGCTCCACCCCTATGTGGGTGTAGCACTGACATCATCAATCCAAGCGCTAGACAATGAACCAATCACAAATGACAATGCAAACTCATGAGGCCTGGGGGACACAGACATAAACGATGACATATATCAAATAATTTTTTTCAAATCTGAAAAGTTACAATGGCAGTATCAACAATCATGACAACTCTTGTGTTGATGATGACTATTTATACCTAATCTTTATGGACCAGCTGCTGGTTTTTAACACCTGGAAGTAGGTAATACTGTTGTCTGCATTTTAGAAGTAAAGAAAGTGAAGTTCAAATGAAAGTGCTTTGTCTAAGGTCTTAGGGATCTTGGTGATTTGAGCCCAGTGTCTGTCCCCAGTCCTGCATTGGTCTTTTTAAACAAACCAGAGTTCTTCTCAACACTTAATCCTTACCTCTTTCCTGAGTAGGCTATGTCCCATTGCCTTCTTTCCTGTGTGCTCTGGAACACATTGGGTCCATACCCCATAAAATGGATGCCTTCAAACACCTCTCAGTGCCTCCTGTGGGATGGTTTTGGTACACAGCTCACAGAATTGACTGGCTTATAGTTAAGGGCTGCCAATCATTTGATAATTCCAACTAATACATTAAATAATAATTGCACTAATTATGAATCTATTAGTGCCAATGGAGATATGGATGCTAGTTGTAAGTACAGGGAATGCAGAAAACTGATTATTATTCACCGCTGTGCATTTAGCACTTAGTTTCTAGCACACTGTAAGTGCCTGTACAAATACTGATGACTGAATGAATGAGTGGATAGAGGAACAAATGGAATACTGTGCAAGAACAAGAACTGCCTGGGGAACTCAGGAGACACGTATTAGAAATGTACAAGGCAGAGACTTACTCTGTGGTCAAAGGAAAGTCTGTGGTGGTGTTAGTCTTTGTGTACTTTAAAGTTAGGGCTAGATGTGTTTTATTTAGGAAGAGAATTGGAGAAACAACATAGAACAGTGGTCTCCAAATATGCCTGCAGTTGGCATCACTTAGGATCTTTCTGCTTTATTTTCTAGGTTTTGGGAATCTCCTAAAATTAGACTATTCCCAAATTACTTGCAAAGCCTTTGGAAGTAGAACATAGCCATAAGTATTTTATGATGCATTCAAATAAATCCAGCATCCAAACAGGTTTGAAAACACTGAACACAGGTTTGGACAGAGGTCTGCACACTGTGACCAACTCCAGCCCTGTCTTCTTTTTGTAAGGTTTCGGGAATCACAACTACCTTCATTGTTACATACTGTTATGGCCACCTTAACCTCCAGTGGCAGAGTGGTATGGTCTGCAGAGATAAAAGTATTTGTTTTCAAGCCCTTATGGAAAGTTTTCCAACCTTTAGGAAGAAATTGGTTCTATGGAACCAACCCCAGTGGAAAAAGAGAGGGTGCCTGAAATAGTAGAGGAATAGCCCTGGAGAGCATAACCCTGTGTGTGACCTTGGTCCTTTGGAGTAGGACTTCCACAGAGTGGTAAAGATTATCATGAAGGGTGATAGTGCTAAAGAAGAGAGAGTAATGACTGCTTCTGAATAAATAGGAGCTGCTTAGTATTTCTTCATATCCATGAATTTGGCATACTACTCAAGTCCACTATCATCTCCTGAGTACAGGTGTGGCTTTGTATGTCTAGGTGGTCGGTAGGTGGGTAGGTGGTAGGTCTAGGTGGTAGGTAGGAGTTGAGACCATGATTCAATATTTGAAACAATCTCAGTGGTCCATAAATGTGGCACTAATTAACTTAAGCTGTAGAATGAGATGTATTATTTTTTCAGTATTTTTCTTATTGGACAACAAATACATGAGTACATGAGTGAAACACTGGGTAAAAAAATGAAAAAGTACAGTCCACAGCGCCAGTTCCGGAATGCAGTCTAGTTAAAAGGAGAAATTTGAAGGCTAGGGAACCCCTGTAGCAGTGGTAGTAAGTGCTGATCTCCACTTCTAACCCACTTTCCAAGTGAGCAACAGAGTGAGACAACAGAAAAAATTAGCGAACAGGGCAAGACTAAATAAAAAGTAATCAGTACTATAAAGCCTAAAAATTAAAGACATTTAGAGAATGGAGAGGTCAGATAGTAAGAGGTAAAATGTCGTCTTTGTATTCAATCCTCCCCCTCCCCTGGGGGATGGGGAAACAGATATTGAAGCTAGGTGGTACCTTCTCAGAGGTCTCAGAGCTGCTGTCTAGTGAAGATGGATGCAGACCCACATCTTCCTTGATTGCAGATGTTATATTCACAGTGCTGTTTGCTTTCTCATGATGCAGAATCGGGCTTCTAGGTTGGAATTGAGAGGTCTGAAGAACTGAGATAGGTAGAAGACTTGGAAAGACCATTTTATCCTCTCTAATAAAAATCTGAGGAGTGAATATTTGCCTGTGAAATTTGCCAGGTTTAGTACCTGAAAGTAAGTGATTTCTTTTCTTCCCTTGTTTATGCCCTTTTTCTGTAGAATTATGAAGAAGGTTGTAGGGAACCGGTCTGGCTGCCCAACTGTAGGAGACAGAGTCGTCGAGCTCATTTATATTGATATTGTGGGACTTGCTCAGTTCAAGAAAACTCTAGGACCATCTTGGGTTCATTACCAGTAAGTACAATATACTCTTTCCTTCCTTCCTTCCTTCCTTCCTTTCTTTTTCTTTCTTTTCTTTTCTTTTCTTTTCTTTTTCTCTCTCTCTCTCCCTTCCTTTCTTCCTCCTTCCTTGTTCTTTTTCCCTAACAAAAATTATGTGGTTGTGCATAGAAATAGATGATTAAATATTTTTTGAACAGTATGGAATATTTCTCATTTTAGGTGAAATTCAGAATTTGCACAGTGATTTTCTTCTTCCTAGGGCTATTCATTATTTTCATTGATATCTTGAGAAAACAAGTGTCAAGCCTCCTTAATACTATAAATTCTTCTTTCAGTATGCCTAAGCTGGCCTCATCTATTTAATAAAGTAAGGATTTTTTAAAGTCTAGAGATTGTCCTTTTGGTGGTCCTTGGATATGAGATAATGACTCATTTCTATCTTACCTTTTCCCTCATGATGTTCTTGTCATACCTGAGAGGAAAAGTTGGAACATCTTGTGTGAAGACTAAGGGATTTTCCTTTTTGAGATCAGTCTGTGCTCGGTATAACTGCGGTGAGCTCTGTGCAGTGTTTATTGTTTAGTGGGTGAGCTCAGAGTTCACGTGGGTAGGAGCTTGAGACCAGGATTCAATATTTGAAACAATCTCAGTGGTCCGTAAGTGTGGCACTAATTAACTTAAGCTGTAGAATGAGATATATTATTTTTTCAGTTTTCTTTCACCCTTTCTGAGAAGGCACCGCTTATTACTGTATCTCCAGCACTCTTATACCTGCATGCGTGGTGAGAGTGGTTGCATGTACTAGCCTTCAAGCACAATCAGCACAATAAAGGAGGCTTTATTTTTAGTTATCTTCTGCTTATTACCATTGATGCTGAATTTTATTTATTGTGTATAAAAGATTATTATAAAAGTTTTGTTTTGTTTTTAAGACAGGGACTCTATACAATTTAGTCTAGCCTCGAACTCATGTAATGCAGGCTGGCCTTAAACTTGTGATAGTCCTCCTGCTTCAGCTTCCCAAGTGCTGGGATTTGCAAGTATGTACCATCACACCTGACTCTTAAAAGTAATTTTGAAAGATAGCTAAATTTAAATAATCTTCTGTTTAGTAGGATCAGTGGTTCATGAATATGGGTACAAAGTTTGAAGGCTAGGGAACCCCTGTACCAGGGGCAGTAAATGCTGATCTCCACTTCTAACCCAATTCCCAAGTGAGCATCTGGAAAATCTTTAAGTTAGTATACATGGAAATCTTGTTAAGTTTCTTTTCTGTTGCTTTTGGGTAAGGTGGTATATTGATGGGTCTTCCAACTTAACCAGTAAAATAATTTGAATGGTCTAAACTCCTGTCTCCTCTTTCAGGTTAGTTAAGGTTAATATTAGCAACTTGATTTGCCCAAGGTTGTATCAGACTGGAATTCTTCAGAAATCAGACAGAAATTAAAACTAAGAATACTAAAAATCTTCTCAAAAGCATAGAGGGGAGAATATCCCTTGTCAGTAAAATTCCCTTTGAATATACAGGGTTTTTCCCCAACAACATTGATTTTTCTTATTGAACAACAAATATTCATAAGAAGGAGAGAGATGGAATAGAGATTGTTGATGGAATAGATATATAGATTCTCATTCTTTTCCTTTTTGGCATATAATTTCATAAAATAAAGAAAGAAAAATACAATCTTGGTTTGGGCCAGTATAGCACTCTGCATTTTATATCATGTCTCTCCTGTTTCGTGTGTGTGTGTGTGTGTGTGTGTGTTTCATTGAGGTCTGCATTACTCTCGCACATTTTTTTCTTACATTTGTTCTCAGTTGTATAGAAATAACCATCTTTCTTCTTGGTTAATAGCCATGTAGGTGAAGGCAATTGTTTAAGGGTTTGGTTTGTTGTAGCCTTAAAGAAAGAAGGTCAGGGCTGTTGTTTTCTGGCATTTTGTGAATGGCAGACATTTGGAAAATGTGCGAAGGAATCTACGCAGTTCAGACCTCCCTAGACTCTCATGTCCTTACCATTAAGAAGAGCTGTTTGGATGGAAAATACTCTCAGCGGTAGAGTTTAGGTCAATTAAGAGAGGCAGTGCTGTTATTAAAATGGTCACTGTATATTGGTATTTGACTTGCGTTGTATGGAAAGGCATATCTCAGAGGGATTTTATGGAAAGTGTAATGTTTGTCTGCTCTTTTTTAATGACCAGTCTGCATTAGTGATGGCAGACAGGGGATCCATTAGTGCTTTAGCCCTGCAGTCTTTGGAATGATTGAGCTGAGAGTTCATCAAAATACTAAACAGATCCTCTAAAAAGTTTCTTATCTACAGTCAGGACTGTCTGTGTTCACGTTGGTTGATGGTAGGTACTATAAATTAAATCTAGTGTTTTCATCCAATTTCTCAATTGGAAGCAAGCTCTTCAAGCCTGTTGATCTTGGAAGAAATATCATAAATTCTACCTAGTTTACATGAGGATCTATAAAATTCAATCAGACATTTATTAAAAAACTATGTATATGCAGGTAAAATTCTGTTAGGAACTCACACTCTTCTGCTTCATGTGAGGCCTTTTGCTGAGCATTGAGGAGATATAAGATGCAAAAAGTGCTGCACATGCCATGTTTTACATCAAACTCCAAAAACAGAAAGCTCCTGGCACAAGCTTGGGGGTATCCATCTTAAAAGATTATAGCTGAGAGTAAGAAGAATGTTGCAGGAGTCCTGGGGCACTGCACTAAGGTTCCTGTTAGCAGAAGGCAAGCTGCCTTAAGAATCTAAACAAGTATCTTTTTTAAGTCATTAGTCTGTTCCTGATGCCCCAGACACACCAAGACATTAGAAACATGACATAAAGATTAAAAACACAAACCTAATTCCAAAACAGATGGAAAAAGTGATCAAAGAATGAAAACTACAATTTTAGGTCTCCCATATCATAGATAAGGTCAGTCCCCTGTTGCTGGTATATAAAACAAACTAATATATGCTAAAAAAAAAAAATGCACAGTGCTTCAGCCAGAGCTTCAAGATAAAGATGTTGAATTGTAAGTTTCTTGAGACATCATTATAGTCTTGTTGCCAGGAAACTAGATATAGCTTACATCTTGACTCTAAACACTGTGGCCACCAGGAGATAGGCTCTTACCAGGGAACTTTGTTCCTAAGATTTGCTTTAATTATCCAAATTAATAGTAACAATAATAAAATTCAAAATTAAAAATACAGTCACCAGCCAAACTTAGGAGAAGAATCTAGACATGATTTGTTTTTCTGAGGCTGTGGGGCCTGTTTCTTTCTCTATGGGTTGCCAGGCTGAAGTCCCTGTCCTTCGTACTGTGAAGATTGCCAAGCCAGGCATGGTGATGTGCACCCAGAGTCCCAGCTGCACAGCATACTAAGGCAAAAGGATCATGGGAACCCAGGGGTTCATGGGCAACCTGGGCATCATAGTAAGACCCTGTCTTAAGAAAATTGCCATTTTGATGACAGCATGTTCAATTAAAGCCACACAAACAAGGGAACTATTTCTGTGGTCAGCTTTTATTTCATTCTGTGGTCATGGCCTTTCCTCCTGCTCTGTTTTTTTTTTTTTTTTTTTTTTTTTTTTTTCTTTCTTATGTAAACAAATGGCAGTAAGAAAATCAACACACAAAAATGGCAGTTAACAGCTGTGGTTCCTAGAAAACCCATTCTGGTATTTGGATTTTGTTGTTATTGCTCTTGTTTCAGACTCTTAGTGAAGTGAAATTTTTAAACCAGAAATTGTATTTTCCTTAAAAGTCATTGCCTGCATCTGATTCTAAAATGTTTGCTTTTAATTTTTATTTACTTTATGCTTATTGGTCCTGTAAAAGTTATTTAGAAGTATTAGTGATAAGTAGCAAGAGAAAATAGGTGCTCTTATTAGCCATTCAGAGCTTAAATTACATGCATGCTTTGAGATTTAGTGATGAAGTCAGGTAACCAAGGTCAGTAAATTTTGTTTCAGTATTAACTTCTTCCAGCTGGTAATTCATTCTGCCCTCTAAAGATGTAGCCAAAAGACATCTATCAGGGGCCTCCTAGTAAATATTTGAGGCTTTGTAGTTCATACACATGTTCATCAGCTCTGTTCCTAGAACATGAAGGTGGTGGCAGGCACTGTGGGGACACAGTGTTACTACATTCACGTAAAACTTTTATTTTTAAATGCGTAAATATGAAAGCCATATAATTTTCACATCACAGAATATTTTCTTATTTTTTAATCATTTAAGAATCTAAAGACCGTCCTAGTGCACAGCCACACAAAAGTAGGTATTAGGACCAACTGTGGCCTTTGGTGGCACAGACAAATGAAATATCTGTGGTTTCATTTTGTCAGGCTCTAGAAATAAAGTAGTAAATTTTGCTGTTATTAGGTATGTAAAAACTGTCACACCTTTTCACTAAAATTCTAAGCATAGTCCTCCTTGTGGGGCCATGACAGAATACTGAACCTGAGTATATGATGAAATGAAATTAATTTCTCACCATTGCAGAAGCTGGAAAGTCCCAGGTATAGGGGCCCCCATCTGGAGAGGACCATGTTGTTGTGCCATAACCTGGAGGAAGACATGACAAGGACAGAGATCAGGATCCAGGTGGCACAAGCTCCTGTGTCTCCTCCTTTTCTTATGAAACCACTAATACCATAATGGGCACCCCACCTTCTTAACCTCATCTAACCCTAAGTACTTCTCAAAGGCCCCACCTCAGACTACCATCAACATAGCAATTTGACGATTAAGTTTCTGACATACGAACTTTCAGGGAATTCCTCACAATAACATAATCTGTATCTAACCAAATAGTCTAGTTGGCTGATACAAATGTTACACATTTATGCTGGAAAAGACAATGCATGGCTTGTGCTTTAAGCAGACTGAGCTCAGTAGAGGTGGTAGCTCTGTTTCTTTAATAACTGCTGTGTGTGTGGCTCTGGGTGTGTGCTGAGTATGAGACAGCAAGTTTCGCAGTCCCCAGCTGTGGCTTTCAGGGACTTTTCATTTGAATGATATTTGAGCAGTCCTCTGTGCCATCAGTCAGGCCATTTGAAGTAAATGCTGTCTACTTTGTGATTGCTGTGGTTCTCAAATCACTCACGTAGATGTTTGGTTTATCAGTTATAGTAGTGAATCTTACAGAGCTTCCCATGATACAACAGCCTACTGCATGCCATAGAACGTGATTGGCTGGGGATGTAACTCAGAGATAGAATGGTTGCCCAGTATGTGCAAAGCTGTGGGTTCAATTCCTGAGCCTGCAAAATAATAATAACACCTATCAGTTCCTGCCTGCTAGCTTTTTTTTTTTCTTCTGATACCAGGAATCAAACTCAGGACATTATGCATGCCAAGCAGGCGCTGTGTCACTGAGCCATATCCCTGGCCCTGGTAGCATTTTGTCTATTTTTGGTAATCTTCAGAGAAGAGGCTAGAGCTTTCTCTTTTGAGGTCAAGGTTGTAGCTTCACACACATCATGTTTTCTTTCAGGTGCATGCTTCGAGTCCTGGATTCATTTGGTACTGAGCCAGAGTTTAATCATGCAAATTATGCCCAGTCCAAAGGTCACAAGACCCCCTGGGGAAAATGGAATCTGAACCCTCAGCAGTTTTATACCATGTTCCGTGAGTATTTATGTTTCTCCTCTGCTTTCCAGAATGCCACTGAAGACAGCTACCTATTAGGTAGTTATTTACAGGACCCTTAGCTGTAGAAGTGTGTGCTCTTGAACCTTTTCCTTGGGAATAATTGAATTTTTTCTTTAATTGGAGTTGAAAAGCTATGTGAGCATTTTGTGAAAAGCCCTGGAGATGTAGAGAAAAATGTTGACTATAAGTTGCTATTAGAAAAGAACTTGGGGACAGCTGCTGACTGGTATAACCTTGGCTTGCCTTGGGCCACAGTGATGTCATTCAGAGTGCCCTTCCTTGTTAATGAGGAATAATGTCTTCTGTGTCAGTCCACTTTTTATATAACTATATCTTAACATATCAAGTGCCAGACTTTTCAAAGAAAAGTCTCCCCCTTCCTATGAGCAGCTGGTTTAAACTCAGTTTTATATTTTACTGGCTTCCTGGATGTTAGACTCAGAATGAGATTTTCACTCCTCCTACTAACCTGATAGCATTGTCTTGAGAAGCAGTGTTTGTTTTATGTAGGTGGAGTGAGAGTGCAGAAAACTAACGGTGAGCTGAGGCCCACTGTTAGACTTTCCGAATTTTTTGTTTCTAGGCCTTTTTTTTCCTCAAGAGGGTTCTTACTATTGCTTTCCACTTGCCTGCCTCAGTAGAGCCTTATTTCCAATTATTGATGACTGTGAATCTGAATACCAAACTTGATAGCATTTGTGCCAAAAACAAATGTATTACTTAAGTCAGTACACCATAGTGACAAAGCCAAGTTCTTTTCTGAAAAAGAACAGCTACATGAGTTAAACAGTTGATTTGGATGCTTAAGAGTAGAGAATTCCCATTTTAGAAAAAATTATCAGTATAATTTTAACCCAAAGTTTTCCATTCTAGAAATTACTTCAGAGATGTCAGTCTGCCTGCCTTTTCCACCACACATACACTCTGTCCCCTTAATATATAGCCTGAATGTAACAGCAGCACATTGGATTAATCCTTGGGTATCAGTTCTACGAAGGAGAAAATTAAGAAGAGTTCTGGCTGATGAAGAGAATAGTTTTTAAAATCAACTTATATTTAAGATCATTCAGCTCAAAGAGGTTGGTAAGGGTGTGCTCTGTGCCTTGTCAACATTATCACTGCTCCATAATAATAATTAATAATTAGCCTGTTATTGCAACTTGTCCCTATCACATAGATCAGGATTTGGCATCTTAGGTGACAGGTGGCTGTCAGCATGGTGAGGCATGATTAGAGTTAAGCTTGTGGTTTGCCTTTGCTATGAAACTTTGAGAGGCTAGGATGACATGGCACCAAACAAACTTAAGAAGCAAACTGTATGTTACATGCCAAGTGTCATAAGATGTTACCTTTGTCCAGAAGGCTTAAGCTCCTGGAAGATGTAGTTGGTAGGCATGTGTCCTCCAAAACATGGTGTTTTCCTGTGTCCATGCCTAGAGAGCAGAGAGGTTCCAGAAACTATAGGCTTCTCTTTGAGAATGTTGGGATTTAGAGCCCTGCAAACTTATTTTGTGTTTCATAGTGCTGGTTGGTTGAATTGAAAGAAGGTCACTGTTTAAAATGTTACTGAAATGTAATCCCACCTACTCAGGGCCAAGAGAGGAGGATCACAAGTTTGGGGTCATCCTGCACTAGTTAACAGGGCCTTGTCTTGAAATAAGTATAAAAAGGATGGAAATGTAGCTCAGTCATAAGAGTATTTAATTAGCATACATGAGACCCTGGGTTCCACCCCTAAAACCTAGAAAAAGTACATAATACTATCTTGCAAACGAACAAACAAAAAACCTTATGGCAAAACATCAACAAACCCCATCAGCACTATGATTTGCCTGTACATTCATAGTAAAAAAATATATTGTTATTTGAAACTGTTGTAGTGTAGGATCTAAGCTTTCAGGTATTTGATAAATGGGAGAATTGGAGTAAAGACTATATAAGAGTCAACTTGAATAGAAAACATCAATATGAACTCTCTTCCTTCCTTCCTTCCTTTCTTTCTTCTTTTTTTTTTTTTTTTTTTTTTTTTTTTGTCTTTTTCATTTTTATTGGTACCGGAGATTAAACTCACGACCGCCTGCTTGCAAGGCAGGTGCTTATGCCACTGAGCTAAATCCCCAGTCCCCCTTTCTTTCTTTAAAAAGAAGTCCTATCTCTGTGCTTTGGAAAAGACCAAAAAAGTAAAGGCAGCCTGATGTATAGCAGTGCATACCTCAGCACTCATAATGTGGTTCCCTAAATACTTTTTCTCACTGAAAGGAGCCTCCTTTTAGGATCAAGAGCTAGTTGCAGGTCCACTTCAGGGAATATTCAAGATGGACCATCTTATGGTTTAAACAAAGGAAAAGAAGCTAAGAATGAACACTGGGGTGGAATCAGGAAGACATAGAATCCCAAAACAGGGTAGTCTGAGCAGGAAGAGAAGACCAGTTTTAGTAGATTAAAATCAGACAAATGACAAAAAAAGTTGAGACCAAAATGAATTATAAAATGAATTTGCAAGACCAAACTTCAAGCAAGAAAACCCCACAAAGTATAGTCAGCTTTACAAGTTGCTAGAGCACCAACTCATTCTAAAAAATAAAGGTGGAAAAAGCCAGTTTTGATCTTCCTGCCTTTCCAACACAAATTATCTTAGAAATAATCAAATGGTTGATGAGAAAAAGTTGTTAATCACAGAGAAATCAGACATAATAAATGCAGAAGGAATGAAGAATTAGCAAATCAGCATTTTGAGGATCTTAATGAGACAGTGAAGTGAGTCATCACCAGTGGTTCTAAATCCATCATACGACAGGTTGATGGAAAACTTTCTCATGGGTGAGGCTGTCTTGAATGGAGGAAATATGGAAATGGGTAGGGAAATGAAGCAGTTTGAGGCATTTATCATATCAAGATAAATGTATGTGGGCTGGAGAATTTGCAACAGAAAACAGTATCTCCTGCATCTTCCCATTTGAACCTGGCCACAGTGAACCTGGAGGCTTCCTTTCCAGAAGGTCCCATTCTCTGTGACAGAAGAATGATGTCCATCCCAGATAGTTGGATAATTGTGGCTATTCTAGTGGTCTAAAGGGAAAGACTGTTCCCTTGAATATAAAAAGAAAATGTTCAAAGTTATATTTACTTCTTAATATTTTTAAAAATGAAATTCAGTAGTACTTCGTACATGGTCTGAAGGTCATCATTTTATAATTGATATGTAAATGTGCTCATACATTGAGAATATGAGACTTCTGTGTATTTAGATTGCTTTCTATTGTTGAGGTGCCTGGTAAAAAATTTAAAGACCAAGAATTTTCCTTTCAGACTCAAATCAATTGTTTTAGGAAACTTAGTAGTATTCCAGCATGTGTACAGTACAGAGGGCACTGGGCACAGAAAAAGAGAAGAATTTACTCACTGGTGCAAGCTCTTTAGGGCCAGCCAAATGAAATATACTGGACCAGAACATGTTAGCTTTCTTAAGTGTTTCTGTCATATTTCTTACTTGAAACCTTTTTCTGTTTTTTTTTCTGATTTCTTGCTAATGTGGTACATATTCTACAAATCAAAAAACCAGAGAGAGAGAAAGAGAGAGTATGTGTATGTGTGTGTGTGTGTGTTTTGTCCCAAATCTTAGAAATTCCCTGGCATGACCCACTCTGTATCCTGTGTAAAGTTGGGCATTTTAGGATGTAGCAGCATGACTACTATTTTTGATCCCTTCCTAATCAGGACCAGGTAGTGAGATAGTACTAAGACCCTTTAATTAGATCAGTTGAGTGATGACTTTTTCCTGGAAGCAATACCATTGCTGTTTTAGGGCCCTTGTTCCTGTTTTCACCTCGTGTCTGCATTTAGCATGGCTGTGGAACTAGGCTCTGTAGAGCTGCTCTTGAAAACTCAGTTTAGATCAAACCTTCATCCTTCTCTGAGCCTCCAGGGCCTTCCCTCTGTCTCAAGAGTCCCGTCCATACTCCATAGCAAAGTGTTCACATTCCTTGGCTCCCTGGACTCGTTTCCCTTTTCTTCTCTGACCCAACACATACTGTATCCCTGTAGGTCTTGACCTCTCAGAGAGCACCATCCATATTTGTAGCCACCCGTACCTCCTTCATATCATCAACATAGCAAAATAATCATTAAGACTATTTCAATGACTACCTCTATCTTTCCAGTCTCTAAGAAGAGCAACCATATTACAAAAACAAGGACGGTCTTCTCCCGCTGAAAAAAGTTCCTCAAAACCCTGTAACCATTACTATTTTTTACCATGTGTATTTTTTTACATAGATATATATTTACCTATGTATATATAAGAGATTTAGATATATAAATTTTGCAGCTCCTTTATTTTTACTTAATATATCATATTCTTTTTCAAGCTTCTACTCAGGCTTGAAAATATTTCCAGTGCCGTTTTAGAGACCATTAAGTGACCATCTCCTCATGTGTATGTATTTACAGATATTTTGTTTTTATTTGTAGAAAATTAATGGTGGGATTTTCTGTGCTTGCCAGATGTGTGGGTTGGCTTTATATCTAGGCATCATTTTAGACTCTGTCTTAGTCCCTGCAAATACTGCTTGCTTTACACTCCTTAAAGCAATCTTTTTTTATTTCAGTCTCAAACAAGGTGTGTTATACCTTAGTAAACAATGAAGAAAAGTCTGCTCACTTAAAAAAGTAAAATAGACACATTGTTTGCCTAAACCCCTTAAAAGAGAAAAGTAAAGCCCTCAAATTGATTATTTGAACCATGTATTATGCCATATTTGAATAGCTCTAATTATCTGTTCAACACCCACTTTCACAACTTCATCTGGTTTATGTAAAAATATCAGCTGGGATAAAAATCTTTATCTAATTGAATTTTTTCCTTCCCTGGAGACTAGCTGAAAGCAGCAGTTGCACTTTGATGAGGTTGCCCTCCCCCCAACTGTTTGAGATAAGCTTCAGCATAGATCTTTTTTTGTTCGTTAATATCCCACAAA